AGACTTCCTTAAAGGGTGAGCGATTCCTGAGAAACATTCTGGAGTCCTCACTTCCCTTTTCCCTTCAGTGGCCCAGATGTGCCCATATTTGAGGAATGCTCTACTAACTGTCATTTTGATTTGACTTGGCCAGAATTCTGGTCCGCTACACCAAGAAAATGCCTCAGGTATCAAGTGAGACCTTGCTTGAAATCGGGAAGAAAATGACAGCGGTTGGCAGCAAGTGCTGTAATCTCCCTGAGCACAAACGCATGTCTTGTTCTGAGCACTACGTGAGTACTTGGATTTCTTCTTTCCCCTTCTCCTCCTGGAGATTTTCCCTGTTCACAAAAACACTGCATTCTGGTGAGATAGCAAACAGTGTTTTTTCATAAACACCGCGCTAAGCATCTACCTAACAGAATTCCAAGTCTGTTCATTTTTTAATGGATGTGAGAGCTTAAATACCTAGCTGATGGTAACTTGTGAGAATTTTAGTTAAACTTTGCTTTGTCTCAGCAAGCAAGAGTGAGTTCATAGAATTGGGAATCACAGAACCATAAAATGGCCTAGGTTGGAGGGAACCTTAAAGATCATCCAGTTCCCACACCCTGCCATGAGCAGGGGCACCTTCCACTGGACCAAGTTGCCTAGAGCTCCATACCTGAGACTGTGGCAGGTTGCATTTGGGAAATGTCCTAAAACAGTGTCCTAAAACCCTCAAACCTACTGATTGGAGCCTAATGCCCTGACTGTTTGCAGATGAAGAAATGCTTCACTCCAGGAGTACCTATATATTTTAAATTTTAAACACGTACCATGTCTCAGCAGGTGTTTCCAGCTATGCTGTTGTGATAAAAACATCACTTAGTTGCTGTGGTTTTTTGGGAAGATGTAACTAATCTTTGCTCTTTTCAGCTGAGCATCATCATTGAAGACATGTGCAAGAGGCAGGAGAGCACCCCCATCAATGAGCAGGTTTCCCAGTGCTGCAACGAGCTCTACTCGTACAGGAGGCCATGTTTCACTGCCATGGGCGTAGACACCAAATATGTGCCGCCAGCCTTCGACCCCATGATGTTTAACTTCGATGAGAAGCTGTGCACTGCTCCTCCGCCTGAGCGCGAAGCAGGGCAGCTCAAGTAAGCCCCAAGAAACACCTTGTAGGGGAGTCCTGAACTGCAGCACTTGGGAGTACAGAAGGAAGCTCCACCCTGTTGTGTCATCTGACTGGGGCTACACTAGTGACACAGAAATCCACATGGAACTAGGTGTTTGCACTGACCTGGTCAGCATATAACATCATGTAGTGTGGAAGAGGCAAAAGAATTTTTTATTCACTGAAATCACTCCCTTAACTGACCAGTTTCATGTAGGCCCACTGCCAGTGCAGTTCTTGGGATGTACTTAATTAGGACAACATACAGATCATTTCTCTAAGTTTTTACTCAGCTGCAACTGATGGTTGTGTTAGACTGGGAGTTTGGAGTCACCAACAGGCACAGATTCATCTAGGCATGACAAAAAAACCCTGAAATGAGCTGTGCCTGGGGGAATGGTGTCTTGTAAAGCAGGAATCCTACAGCAGGCAAGATTAATTGCGTCTTGTGGCTTTCTTTTCAGAATGCTCGTCAACCTCATCAAGCGCAAGCCCCAGATGACAGAAGAACAAATAAAGACAATTGGTGGGAGTTTCACTGCCATGGTGGAAAAGTGCTGCAAGCAGGCAGATGTTGAGGGGTGCCTTGGAGAAGAGGTACTTTCTATCCCCTTTTTTTTAAAGAAACAAAACACAAAATACACACACACACACCCCACCAAAGCAACAAAAAAAATCCTCAAACAAAAACAAACAAAATACCTCAAAGCACATATACAGGAACCTGGGAGCTGAGCACTACAGAAAGCTGTTCTGCAAACTGCTGTGGTCACTTGTCCACGTGCCTTTACAATAAACGGCCACAGCTCACTGTGTACCTTGGCTGCACAGGTTACAGTCACTGAACAATTTCACATGGAGAAGTTGTCTGGAGGTCATTTAGTCAAACCACCTGCTCAAAGCGCATCTCAGTCTTAGATTAGGTTAAGTTCTCTCAGGTCTTGTCAGAAGAGCCACAGATGAAAAATACCCACATGTAGAATTTAACTTTCTCTCTAGCATACATAAACTTCCTTTTGTGCTACAGCTCCTTACAAAACTCTAGGATTACCAGTAAAAAGCGCATCTGGATCAATTCTCACAAGTGCCCAGCAAATACAGATCTACTGGGAGTTTGCCTGATCGTGTCACAGAAAAGGTTTATCTGCAGCCATATGGCATTGCCAGCAAGGATAAACGACAGTTTGCAGTAGCAACCTCATTATATTGTAAGGCACAGAACTATTACTAATATCTTAAAGTGCTTATTAATTGAATTCTTTTTTTGATTTGTATCCTAAGTGTTACATAGTTAAATATATTGGGAAGACTTAGGAAAGAATTATTTTGTCTCCAACCAGTTCCAAAAGTGTCTTTGCTACTTTGACAAAACTGGAAGACACACAACATCCAGGGGCACATGGGTCCTAGGGTCAGGAAGTACCATCAGAATTATCCCTTGAACCATAATTCAGGCACGAGTTTAAATTTCTAACAGCTCCTTCTCAAGCACAACCTGCTTTTCTCTGACAACTGTTTGTGTTCCTTTTCCCAGGGTGCTTCCCTAATAGTCCAGAGCAGAGCCATATTAGGAATTGGTGTTTAAGCTAAGGTAGGTAGCAGCAGTAATACACAAATACCTTTTTCTGTCAGTCTCTCTGTCCCTTCCTGCCCACCCTTCCACCCACTTCACTTCCTTATCCCCAAAGAGCATCCAGCTTCCCTTTAACCACCACCTGTGCTTTCCCTAATTGTTTTACCACCTGCCCCTGCACAGGGCTCAAATAACTGAGGTGCTGCCAGTATGCTGCCATTTTACAAAATCCTCCCTTTTGTCTCTCCGATCTAGGTTTCCAGTGGGAAAACATGAAGAAAAACCTGTGTAACGTCTCCCACCCCTTACCCTTTTTCATTTGGTACTGAATGAATATTTCATAAATCATCAGTGTTTTGTCACACTATGTGCTGTTCAATTCCTTCTCTAAAAAAATAAAAAAAATAAAGGCTTTATAAAACCACACCTGTCCCTGTCTGCTGGTGACAGCCACAAGGCAAAGCTCAGCAGTACTGCCTAGACCAAATGGCTGTTCTAAATAGACTATATGGACAGTGAGTCTGTACTTCAGATTTTTTTTTTTTTGCTTAGTGCTCTTAGAAAGTTTTTACGAAAGAGTATGAAAATTTAGCTAGACGTCAATACCTAGATTCAATTGCATGTTCATTTTAGGCTTTACTTCAGTCATTATAATTACATAGTAAGAGAGGTTTCAAAGGTACTGTTCGATCTAAAGAAAACGATCAGCAAGGACCTGTTCTAAAAAAATATTTTACACCAACCACAAATCAAGCATCTCTTAATTTGCAAAGAGCTGCAAACAGCCCTGCTTTTAAGATGTTTTGCATCTCTTAACTCGATTTTTAGGAAGTGCTTGAAATTTTCTCTTGAAAAGCTCACCACCTACATCACGCCCTTTACTACGGCAAACTCCCCGGAGAAACATTTCCTGCTCCTATGCCCACAAACCCCTATGATTTGCTAGGACATATTCCAGTTCACCGCCCCAGGGAGATGCTCAGGCCGCGGACTGTCCCGGCCCAGCTCCCAGTCCCGCCGCCGCTCACCTGCTCCGCGCCGCCGCTGCCGCTCCGGGCGCTCCCACCGCGGAACCCGAGAGGAGGAGGTTCCGCCGCTGCTGCTCTTGTACCCGCACAGGCACCGCCCCGCCCCCGAACACCTGTGCGGCTGTCCCGGCTTCGCCGCTCCAGGCTCTCTACGAGAATACCAGCCCGCTGCTGCCCCGGGCAAGCCCGGACGCAGAGACAGCGGTTGCCGTGAGCGGCCCGGTGTGTAACGGGAGGCGGCAGCCGCTTTCCCGTGCAGCGCCCGGGCCAGGCCTGCTCGCTGCTCGGCTGAGCTCGCTGCCTTCGGCTGAGCTCGGCTCGGTTCGGCCCGGCCCAACTCGGGGGAAGGAAAGAGCCTAGACTCCATAATTAAGTCAATCCCCTGGCATAAGGGACAATGGACATCAAGTGCTGTGAGACAGATTCCTGTCATCATGTCCAAATAAGAGAAATGGAAGTGGAATTCCAGTGTAGTCTTTGGAGATGTTACTGCTTTTCATGGGATTCTCTGAGGTTTTTTTTTTCCCAGCCATGTGTGATGCCACTTGTTCAGTTAACTCCTCAGTCTTCCTTTTATTCTAGTACCTGAGGGTGAAGGAAAGAGCCTAGACTCCATAATTAAGTTTATTGAGCAATGAATTGTTGAAGTCTCGTGGCTCTGGCTCATTGCCTGCATAATATGCTTGAATCCCTGTGTGTAAATCTGTAAATTGTATTGCTACCTCCCTGGAATTACTGTCTTGTTCTCTCTTTGCTATTCCCCTTGCTTCCTTGGTGTGCTGCAGGACACTGCTGACCATCACCACTCCTTCCCTTGCCTAGTTTTAGGAATCTGGATGGGATGCTTGGCAGAGTCACAGCGGTCATGCTCTGGCCATAGTGGATGCGTGGATCCTGGCCAGTAGCTGGGCTGCTGTCTCAGACTGCTAACAACTCCAGCATAATCCTGGAGTTGAACAAATCCTAAAACTGCTTGAGAAAGTCCTGGTAGATGTAGTGCTTGGGATTTAAGGTGCTGTTATACACTTGATGGGAATGGCTTATGGCTTTTTTTACTAGGAGTGGGAAATACTTGGGTATTAAGGCTAAGTATGAAGTAGTCAAAATATGGTGTAGTGAGCCCTCAGCTTGATTGTCCCAGCCTGTGTCACTTAGCCAAGCAAAGCTTTGTGCTTGATTACTATTCCATCCTTTGTAGTAGCAGTAGTGGATGCGTTTACTTTTTTTTCACCTTTTGCTTAGATTCATCTCTTCTGAGTAAATGAAGAAAGTGACTATGAAGGCACAGCATCTGCCTTCTGTTTTTATCAATGAAGAGAAGTTCATAACCAGGTAAATTATTAAAGCCCTGAATATTTAATGAGTTTGCTGCTTTCTTTCAAGTGATTCCACATATATTCCTTGACAGGGGATCCTGTAGACAGCTGAGTCTGTAGCCACAGCAATCCCTACCACTTAGCTTAAGCTGTCTACAGAGCAGAGCTGGCCTTCACATGGAATCAAAAGAACAGAGCATTAAGCCTTAGGGTCTGTGGGATTTGTTCCTTAAGGAGAGCAGCCCTTCTAGAGGATTCTGAAATAAAATTACGAGTTAGGGAAGAAGGCGTTCTTGTCCTGGAGATCTGTTGGAATTGACCCTAAGTTCCAGAATTGAGCTCAGCTTGTCTGCAGCCTGGGGTTTGGCAGCCTTGGGTGGCAGGGTATCTGTGCAGAAAGACTTTTAGGCTGCTAGCTCTCTGCTGTGGTCAGAGGAAGTGTCTCTTTCACCTACTTGTACAAAAAGCTCAGAATTGCAGCCTAACTGTCATTTGTGGGATGCTTTTCCATAGTTCAGTCTCCCTGGGAGGAATTTTTCCTACTGCTGCCCCAAACTCTGAGCCACCTGGCCTTTAGCTCCATCCCCTTTCTTAGGGAATTGTTTTTTGCCTGGTGACAAGAGTGCAGGAGCTGGAAAGAGCCTCTCTTCTCTCTCCTCTCTTCATTCCCATGGCTCTTAGTCCTCCCATGGGAAAGAAACTACCTGTGGACTCAGCCAGGGATGGGTCTGCAATGGAATTTATTTTGCTGCAGGAGAGCACAACTCCTGACTCCTGATGCTTTCCTGTGTGGCCTGGGCAATGCTGGTTTCTCCCTTTCCAAGGAAGGCTGTCAGGGCTTTGCCCAAGGCACACAGGCAGCAGATGCATCATTCCCTTTCTCTTCAAGAGTTGTTCCCTTTATGCTGCTGTTAATTTGGGATGCAGTGCTTTTGTGTCAGAGGTAATTCATGTGTGTGAACTTGGCATGCAGAAGCCTTTGGAAATGTATCAGGTGAACCAGAGTCTCTGGGGCTTTATTCCTCTATGTACTTGCCTGTTCTTGTGGTGAAATGTGCATCCCAGTTGAGACCTTTCTGCATGACAGCCATGGTTTAAATTTTCTTCACCTTGCATCAAGGGAAATAAGTGTTTCAAGAACAACTGACATTCCATATGCACTCAGGCTTGCTTCCAATGCAATTTCCAGACTGTCATCCCTCATCTCTACCTTGAATCTGCTGTTACACTGCTTCTCTTCCAGTTCTATCCTGCAATCTTGCTGATGGGGCAAGCTGACCAAAGCTTGTGGGATGATTTGGCTGGCTGAACTGCTGCCTCTCTGGAGCAGTGGCCGGATGATGAAGAATGCCCAGGCTAGGGAAGCAGCGTCCAGCCAACCTCCAGCCGATCGAGCACTGCCCAGGCACGAAACCCAGACCCTGTGCTCAAGCGATGGTATGCTTCGGGGCAAGTGGCCGCGGGTAGAAACTCCAAAGCTGCAGGGCGCTTGAAGAAAGGGCGACTCAGATCTTCTGAGGGACGGAGGTTTTATTGGAAGGGGTGGTGATGGGTCGGGGAGCTGAAGTCTGAGCCCTGAGGCAGGGAAAAACCTCAGGTTTTATAGGGAATAGGCGGGGTTGGGAACAACAAATCAGAAGAGGGGTACAAAAGATACATTGAAGATTGACGACAGCAAACAACCAATGGGATACAGTTGCGGGTGGGGCCCTGGCCCCTAATCCAATCACCCAACACCCCAGCCAGAAGCTTCTGGAAAAAGAGGCAGGGGTGCTGGATGACAGGCAGGCAGCCAGGGGAGGGGAACAAACGAGATACATTGGGGTAACCAGGACAACGTGGGAGGGGTACAGGGATTGACACTTGCTGGAAACTTCGGGCAGAACCATTTAACACAACAATGGGGGAAAACTGAACAAACATAGAACAAACCACAACACCTCTCCAGCAAAACTGCCATAAATATTCAGGGATTGTGTGTAGGGCTTGGGCAGGAGAGAGCACAGGTGAGCTGTCCTGGGTTGGTGTTTCCAGAGAGCAGCCTGGGCTCTGTTGTGGTTCACCACTGGGGCACCTGACCTTGCAGCTCCTTTGTATCCTGCTTTTGCTACTGGATAAAGTGGTGAATCTGCAGAGCATGTTATGTTTTTGGGCTGAGTTGTTCTGCCAGTTACTTGGCTTTGGTTTCTGTTAATGGCTGTGTTTGGCTGTTGTCACAACAGCTGCTGATTTTCCAGACACCAAACTCAGCAGAGATGGCATCTGTCTCTAGGTTAGGGTGGGAGGAAGATGTGTTACAGTAAGACCACTCCTGGAACTAGGCTGGTGCACGTATTCCCTTCTGGGGCAAAAAGAAGGAAAATGGTTTTTTTTCTCTTATGTTTCTACTACAAAGGACAAACAAGTCAGAGTGAGCTGCTGGTAATCTCTCCCTCAGGGCTTTTCTAATTGCTTGTGTGGTTTGTCACTGTTGGTTGCAGTAATGCAAGGCTGAAACCTGAAAGATCTACTTATGCAAACTTCTGAGGAAGGTAATGGCAAGTTTTTCTAGACAAGGCAAGAAACTCTGTGGAAATCTTGAGGGCTTGCTCTGAGAAACAGAACCTGTTTCAGAGATTACCCTTACCAGACCACTAACTGCTGTTAGTCTATGATTTTATTTGCCTTTGCAGTCAACATAGACTAAGATTAATAGGTGAGTCTCAGAGTGTGCCCCAAGTCCTTAAGTATTTCTAATCCATCTTCAGGAAGCTCACCTTCCCAACTTCCTACTTGGAAAAAACCTGTGAGATAACAGCTGTCAATAAAGTGATTGCCAAATGCTGTGAAGTGCAGAGACTTGAGTTTGAAGCACCTCTGGAGCAGGATCAGCAGGTCTGTCACAACATCTGTCAGACAGAACTGCAGATCTATCTCCTACTTGCCTGGTAATCATGAGCTGCATCTGGAGCTTGCCTGTGTACGAGGCCAAGGCGTGCTTCATCCTGCTTGTCTGTAGCCAGTTCTGTGATCAGAGCTGGGCTTGCTTCTGATTCACATCCAAACCTCCTTGCATTCCCTTTTGGTGGGATGGCCTGAATGTGGTCCCTCACAGAGACACAAAGAACCTGGAATGAGCTGTCTCAACCCAGTGCAAGGAAGGGCTTTTGCCACCAGTATTCTGAGGATTAAAGAATGAAGTAAGTTAATGTTGAGAATCCTTGTTTAGAATCCAGTTGATAAAGGTAGTTAAAAATATTTTTTGTGTGTGGGATTGCAATAATGTAAAATAAATAATTTACATCCACAGAATTAGCAGGGAATGCAATGAACCCTGAGTTTAGTGCTGCAGCCCCTGTCCTCATGTTACCTGCTAGGTAAAAGCCCAGTTGATCTTTTCCCTTCTCACCATGGGAAAAGGCTCTCTGAAGCAACAGGACACTGTCCTGTTTATTAAGTGGAGAGAGAGGGATGGGTGTGCCAGGGAAAGCTCTCCATGTTCATCTCTGCACGGCCCTCTCCCCCAGGCACAGCCTGGATGTGTACCTGCCCCCCTGGCTGTCCCTGGTTCCTCTCTGGTGTGTGCACACCTGGGCCCAGGGGAAAGCCACATTCCTGGGGCCTGTCCCCATGCTGGGCTGTCAGGTTTCTGAGGCACTTCTTTATTTAAAACTGGTGGAGGAGTTGTAATAGTATTTCTGAAGGTACATGAGTTGTGAACAGCTCCAGCAGCTCTCTGAGGAACGTGTGCTGCAGAGTTTGCAGGTGCTGTGTGTTCCATCTATGGGCCTGCTGTTCCAACAGCTCCCACAAACATGGAAATAACAGGCAGTATTTGGAAACAAACTCAGTGTCCTCACACCTCACTGTGAGGCAGGACATGGAACCATTGTAATCCTTAGTCCACAAGGAAGGATTTGTACACTTCCATGCAGTTGTTCCCCATGGTTAACCACCTCTGCTGCTGGGAATTGCTTGCTTGAATTACAGTCTGAGCCATCTTTAAATGGTGTGGGGAACAGTGTTTCATTCTCATGGCCTCTAAATGCATTTCAATAATTCTGTCATTGCTCAGCCCTCCATAGCCTGAGCTGCAGCTGGCTTTGTCTCCGTGGCTCCTCGTTCTTGGCAGAGGTTCTCCTCATCTCCTTCCTTTCTCCTCTCAGCAAAGACATGGTGCAAAGCTGTTTTGTTTCAGGCAGAGAGAAATAGAAATGTTAGACATCCTGTAGATGTTTGGAGATAGGAAAAGTATCTGCAGCAATATGAGGACTAAATGGAAGCCAGCATGCAGGGAAAACCAAGTGCAGCCTAGTTAAAGCAACCTGCAGCACTGGTGCATGTGGATGTTGTTCTGTTTGCTTCCCCCTCATGACTGCTACAGAGGTGCAAAGTACGAGCTATGCTGGGGCAGTGTTATTAACATCATGTGAGGCTGACTAATTAATTTCCTCTGGGTCTTTAAAGGAGCAACTTATGAGCAACCCAGTAGCCTGGCAAAACTTTTCTCTCAGAAAATGATGTATGGATCATTAATAAACCTATACAAGGGTGCAGTTATGGGGTGTTACCCTGCCACATTTTACAGTGATGTTAAATTTTTTTTTTCATTGTGATCTTTATTCTAGAGAGCAGCTCAATTCTCTTCTGAAGAATTATAACTCTTACTATTCAGATCAAGAGAATCTGCAACTGACATGTAATCAGGTAAGGATTTAGGGGTGAGAAACTCCACTAATCTGGACATCACAAATTAGTGCTCTCTTCTCCTCACAGCACTGGACTCCAGCTCCACTCGCTGTGGTGTTGTTATTGCACGACAGGTTCCATCTAATGTAATAAACCAGAACTGGTTTCCTGAACTGATCAGGTCAGCCTGCAGCTTTGGCTGTTTTGGAAATTGCTCAAAACTGAGGTTACACATTCTCCAGGTAATCTGTTCCAGGGCTGTGTCAGCCTCAGTAATTTCATTGTAGTCCTGTTACTTTGAGGGTAGACAGATTATTATTAGTTGATTATTTTTACTCCATTATTATGCAGCACTGACTATTTCCCTGTTTTTCTCCAGCAAGAAGGAAGCACCCCCTTCATTGAAGGAATCCTGTCGATATTCTGGGGCGTGCGGCATCCTATCAGATTAAAGACTCAGGATGAGAAGCAGATACTCTCTTTTGTAACCCTGAAGTCAACAGAGAATGTGGGCTTTTTCCCCAGTAAAAGGTAATGGATGGACTTCCCTAGGGAGGCTAGCATTGCAAGATGGCTCGTGTTGTGCCTTCAGTGAGTGGCTGTGGCTGGCTGCCCTGGATATCCCAGATTCCCCAAAGGCCGTGGTGGTCACTGGACAGCAGAGCCTTTGAACAGTCTCTGCTGGGCAGGAAGGTGTGTGTTTGTAGCACCTTTGTTTGGCCCTCAGGCTGAGGAGCTGGAAGGAGGCTGCTCTTTTTCATGGGAACTGACAATTCCTATACAAGGACTGGGAAATTGATGTATATAAATGTATAGGAAAAGAGCCAAACAATCCCCCTGTGTTTCCATGTGCACCTGATACTGGTAGCCCCTGAGAGGTCTCGTGTTAGTGCACACACTGGAGCATGAAGCCAGAATCTGGTGGGTAAGTGCTGAGGGATTGTCTGTCCCAGCTTACAGGTATGGGAGGTCTGCAACCATTGCTGCTCAGGTGAAGTTCAAGTCAGGCAATGGATACTGGCTTTGTCTGTGCAAAATTTGGTCTAAAAACCCCTTAAAATACTCACAGACCAGCTGCTCCATAAAATGACATTTTATATCCCAGTGTGTTGTGCTCAGCTGATACAGGTACTCATTGTACTTTTCCTTTGTTTTGAACACTGTTTCCCCAGCCTTGGTTGGTGAATTTGATGAGCTGATGCTGAATCTTGTAATACAGAGGCAGAGCCAATGTTCACCCTGAATGACTCCCTGATAAATTGAGTATTGCAGAGTTTATTTTTCTAATTTTCTTATTAGGAAGGGGTCCGGGGAGGGGGGTCCGAGTTACGGGGGCCCCCTCATTAGGAAGGGGTCCCGGGGGGGGGTCGCGGAGGGCCCCCTCCGCAGGAGGGGACCGGGGGAGAGGGCGAGGCCTGGAGGGGGAGTTACCCACCTCCACCCCCCCCCAGGCCCCGTCCTCTCTCCCGGACCCCTCCTGCGGGCTGGGTCCCGCCCCGACCCCCGCCCGGGGATCCCTCTCCTCTGGACCGGAGGGCGGGGGAGGGTGCAGGACCCCAGGGGACGGTCGTGTGTCTGGCGATTCTTTTTTTCTTTTTATTGTGTGTTCACGCTGCAGAGTGACGTGCCTCCCTCTGCTTCCCCCACCCCCCCTCCCTCCGTCCGGGCCCCGGTCCGGAAGATGGGGTGCCCGGGAGGGGGCCGGGGCGGGACCCCGTCCGCAGGAGGGGTCCGGGGAGAGGGCGGGGCCTGGAGGCGGGGTTACCCCCCCAGGCCCCCGCCCCCTCCCCCGGGGACCCTCTCCTCCGGAGGGGGCCCCTCCCAACTCCCCCCTTAGGAGGAGGGGGTCCAGCCTAATCTACCCACACCTCCCCCCCCACCCCAGGACCCCCCCAGTGTGATGTTGGGAAAGCCGGAGCCCCGGCGGTGTGGGGCGGTGTGTCGGACTGCAATGGGGGCACCCGCAGAGCGGGTCCGGCCCCGTGTGGGGGTCCCAGCGAGGGCAGGGGCGCCGGGCTCCGGCCCTCAGGGCTTTATTATTGCCCGGCACCCCGAGCCCCGCGGCTGCGAGGAAAGGAGGAGAGGGGAGGACGGGGAGACAGGAGAGATGGGGGAGGTGAGGACGGGGAGGGAGAGGGGTCGGAATGAGGAGGGAAGCGGGAGAGGAAGGGAAAGGCCGAGGGGAGAGAAGAGCAACGGTGAAGAGAGGAGGAATAGAAAGGAGTAGCGGGGAAGGGACCGGACAGGAAGGAGTGGGGGGGGGGGGGGGGGGGGGGTTGGGTTTGGGAGGAGAGGAAAGGAGCGTTTCAGGGCGAGAGGGGAGGGGGAGAAAGAAAGGGAATACGCGGAGAAGGAAAGAGGGGTAGAGAGAGGGACTGAAGGGGAGGCCGAAGCCTCCGCGCCTTACCTGCGGAGCCCGCACAGGGAGCTCCCGTCCGCACCGTGCACTGAGTGAGCAAATGCCGGTCGAGGCGATTTCCGGGGCCTAAATCACCTCGGCCCCGCCCCGCGCAGCCGCCCTGGGGCTCCGCACACCTGAGCTGGGCCCGCCCTGAACACCTGAGCTGGTACCGCCCCCTGTGCCGTCCGGCCCCGCCCCCTGCACCGCGGCCACGCGGAGGCGCCGCGCTCGCACCGCGCTCCGTGTCCGCCAGAGGGCGCCCTGCGGGGTCTCGGCCCCACACGGAAACGGCCGCGATCCCGCACCCGGCAGCGCCCCGTGCCCGCGGCCATCCCGGGCCTGAAACCGATCCCGGGCCCGCTGCCGCCTCCATCCTCCCGACGGAGGAGAGGCGGCACCGCCCGGGACCTCGGCAGACCCCAGCAGTGCTCGGCATCCGGACCTCCGGCCGCCGTCGCGGTCCCGCTGGAGCATCCCGTGCCCGCACTCTGTGGCCCCGCCCCCCCGTACCGCTGTCCCGGGACCCTCGCTCGGCGCTGTGTGAGCCCCGGCCCCGTGTAGCGGGGACCGCTCGGAGCCCGGAGCGCTGCGGCGGGGCCGCGACTGGGGACGGGGCTGTGAGACCGAGTCCTGCCGGTGCCCGCTCGCGGGGCGGGGCTGCCTCTGCCCCGGCGGGAGGGTTGCGGCTCTCGGCCGGACTGGGCTTGAGAGTGGGCTGAGGACTGGGCAAAGCCCAGCCTGGACTCGATGCCCGCTCCTGCTACGATGCCGGGACGAGGTTGACCGTAAGCGGGCGATGGAGCCCACAGCCGGAGCCGGGATGGGGCGTTCGGGTCCTGCCGGGGTCTGCCGAGGGGTCCCGGGCTGTGCCGCCTCTCCCTCGTCGGGAGGATTGAGGCGGCATCGGGATCTGGATCGGGCCCGGGGCCCCGCAGGGCGCCCTCTGGCGGACACGGAGCGCGGTGCGAGCGCGGCGCCCCCACCGGGGATCCGGGCACGGTGCCCCGAGCCCGCTCGCGGAGAGCCGGGGCTCTGCCGGGAGAACGGCGGCAGCAGCGGTGTTTTGCGGGTGCCCCCGGTGTTCTGGAAGCCAGAGCGGCCGCCTGTGTGTTCCTCCACGTGCCCGTCCTCGGGCGGCTCCACGAGCGCCCCTGGCCTAGGAGGTGGCACTGACCGTGCGCTCCCAGCTCTGCCTTCAGCATTTCCTGCCCTTCGTGCCTTGGGAGCTTAGGGGGTTTCAAACAGCGGCTTTTTCCCTGCCACCAATAAGGTGCGGCTCATCTGACAGCTGCCAGGCGAGATCTGATCCCCTCCTTCCTCTCCCTCAATTTTCCCGCACATCGCACTCTCCAATGGCAAAACTTCTGTTTTTCAAAATCCCGTCAAAATATTTAATCTTTATTTCCATTCGGGGAAGGTCCTACCTGGGATAGAAATGGCTAAAAGAAGAGGGAACAAAAATGCCAAAACCAAACGCTGCCACGTGAGTGAAAGCAGGGAAAGCCTCGGGATGCCCAAGGTTTGTTTTATTGTCACGTCTGAAGCCTCTGCTGATGGCCAGTGCCACCCTTATTTCCCCACAGAGCTGCCAGGATGTTGCCAGAATTGTATCTTTGGGGCCCCGATCCCCTCACAGCATTAAATAGCTCCATCCTGGGCACTTCTTCCAGGGAAGCAGCAATTGCACATGAAACTTTTTTTATATATATATTTATATAAACATATACATATGAAATTCATTTTTAATATTGCACTACAAATTGGTTTATTCTCAGTCAGAGCAGTAACTGGATGAAGACCTTATGCTGAAGAGTTTAGGCAATGATTTATGGAAATATTGACATCTGAAAGGCTGGATGGAACTTCCTGCTCTCATACACAGCTGGTTTGGACAGCACAAGTGTAACCTGTGTAACTCTTCTGTAACTATTAAACAACAATATGTGTGTTTTGTGTGCCTGCCTGGTAGTCTGAGTGTAATTAATCCAGGATGTTGCTGTAAAACAGATCAGGAATTACTGCAAGTTGTTTAGGTTGTGTCTTGGTTGATGTTCAACAGGTTTTACATTGGATGTGTTACATTTGGGATCCCTGGTCATACCATATTTTAATATGATTTTGTTATGACTTAAACTAAAATGACCATGCTGAAGTCTGTATGTTGAGCAGGGATAGGAATGTATGACATGACCCCTGGCCACAGGATAAACTGCAGTCACTGAGGAGTTACTGAGGAGCAGTCAATGGTAACTCCGTGTTTGTCTTTGAATGACTCGCTGGGGAGAGTTTGATGACCTCCATCACATCAGTGGGGATACACTGAAATCTACTGAGGAGCAGCCAGACCTCGAGCAAAGTTAGTGTTGGTGCTCTCAGGTTAACCAAAAATTCTGTGTTCTGTGACAGTGCAAGAGGCCTCTCACACATCAGCCCTTCCCTGCCAGCCAAGGGAAATCTCTTTGCTGTGTGTCACATGCCCTGCAAGCTGGGGAAACACCCACCTAGGGCTGCTTAGGGCTGTGCAGGTGACTTGGTGAACAGCCAGTGGCGATGAGCTGTGCTTTCATCCAAGAAATCATTCCCAAGGGAGCAAATCAGCAAACTGCAAGCCCTGCAAGCAGCCTATTCCTCATCGTATGCCTCTGCCTTGTTCCTTTCCCGCTCCACCACCCCAAAAATAATAAATAGTAAACAGTAAATGAAGCCCTTCACTGAGAGCCTCCCTCCTCTGGGGGTGCTGGCAGCTGCACAGGACGTGTGGTTCTCTTCTGTCCAGGTTATCCATGCTATGAAAGTCACACTCTCAGGTCCAGGAGGGAGCAGGAGCTCGACTGTGCCACCCTGCCCCGCAGCAGCAGCGATGCCGCGGCCCTGCGCAGGAGGACCAAGCTCCCCACCATCACCAGGACAGAAGTAGAAACTCACAGGTTCTCCATCAATGGCCACTTCTACAACCACGAGGTAGGAAATTTTAGGCTTGGCTTTGTCACCTGAGGGGCAGGGAGCCCTGCCCAGTGAGGTGTGCCTCAGGCTCAGGCCGTGGTGTGGCTGTTCTTGTTCCCAGACATCAGTTTTCACTCCGGCTTTTGGGTCAGAATCCAAAATAAGAATCAACAGCCAGATGAGGACCAGACAAGTGATAGAGCAGTTGCTTCGGAAGTTTAAGGTAAGTCTGCTGGCAGGAGGAAGCGTGGCCGTGTTCTGGAAGCGTTCATTCCCATGTGCACTCCCTCCAGCACTGCGGGAAAGATGTGGAATGGCTGGGTGAGGACAGTGCATGGAGCGGAGTGTAAGAAAACCCAGATGGACAATTTTAACCCTGGTGGTGCTGCCCTCCCGCAGACAGCCCCGAGTTGCTGCTAGAATCTTTCCAGCTGACCATCCCAGGTAATGACACAGGCTGCACCCAGTCCTCCCGCCTCCATGTGATGCTGCCTGAGCTCCAAGTTGCATAATATCAGGCTGAAGGGCAGGAGATCTAAACAAATATGAATCCCACACCCCTAAATGGGTATTCCTTGAAATAATGCAAATAGTGAGTCAGTCCCTTTTTATCATGCACCAACATTCTAAGCTGTACAATGAAAAGCCACTGGTGCTAATCAGAAGGACTACGCTGATAACATTGAGTAATAATCTAAGTCACAACTAGCAGTAAGGACAAAATCCCCAATCCCTCTTCACCCAGTCATCCCAAACACAGAGAATAACACAGGGAGCACCTGAAAGTACCTGTTTCTATGACTATCTCCAGTGCTAGAAGAAAAACACTAAAATATAGCTTAAAAGAGCTGGCTGACCATTTGCGAGGTCAGACAGAAATAACCCTTCAGCTTTCTCTGAGCAGAACTTGGAGACTCGCACAGGACTCCTATTGAACACCACTAGAGTGCAGCAAACCATCAGTATTTCATAGAAAAAAAACCAATAATGCAGCCACAAGTTTTTCATTTTTGCAGTCAAGTCCTCCCCTATTGGCAAAAAACTACCCATCCCTTATTTTAAATTTTAGAATTTAAACAACATATGCATTTATTTATACTCAGAGTGCTCCCATGTTCCAACCCTTCACCTGATTCTCAGGGTTGCAGCCCCAGAACATGAGGACTCTGTGCTCTAATCTGTCTAGAACCACTAGCTGCAAACCCTCTGGGGTTTAGGTTTTTGTGCAATAGTTTTGGGGTTTTTTTAAAATTTCTAGTATTTTCTTCCTAGTCTCTAAAGCTCCCCAGAAATTTTCTTCTTTTAAAATACATTTATAGTCACACAGATAGGTTCTCTGGTCAACAAAGAACATTTAAAAGAAATAAAAAAGGGGAAAAGGTGAACAGTTTTGGCCCTCCTATTTCTGCTTTAGCTGACCAAACCCAGAGAAGGTTGTAAAGGTAAGGCACAGGCTGGACCACCTGGGGGTTCAGCCCAACCTGGCCCTTCAGAAAGTTTTATACCAATCCAAAACTGCTGCAGTTAAACTGTTTCACCAACTGCCCTGGGAAACAGGACTTAGAGATGCTGTATAGAAAATCCTCATTGATTGTAACGTTAAAATACATTCCAAAGACTTTCTCTGTGACTTTCTCCAATAGTAACAGCACTTATATACAGTTACATAAACAGAAATACACGGAGACCACTCGCAGTTAAAGTTTGTGGATCAGGTTACTGTTGCACAGAGTTGATACTTCTCCCTTTGCAATACAAATCAACAGGCTAATTGTGACTGGAGACTAAGAACACAGTTATTAATTTCATTTTCCACAAAGCTATCTATCTTTCATGGAAACAGAGAAATTAATTAAAAACTCAGCAAAATCAAGCATTACATAACTACATCCTTTGCTGGTACAAATTCAACTGATACTCAGTCAAATGCCCCTTTTGCCTCACACACCTCTGCAGTACATGATAATCACATCTCCAGTATAAGGACATCACAACTATTCTAATAACATTTTTAGTTTCTTTGAGTTTGTTAGAACAAGATCAGAACAGTTAATTAATTGATAGAACTAAAAAAACAGTACCATATTTTTTTTCAATTGGTATTTCAAGACTCTTATCAAACAAAGAATTTGAAATTAAATCAGAAAAGGGAAGGGATACAATCCTCAACACATGAAAACTCCACAATTACAGCTTAACATTCACTTTTAACAAATAACTTATCATCATTTTTCTTGCAGTCTGTGAATCATTTAACAATATCAGATTCTTCTCAGTACAAGGCTGAAATTAGGCAAACATAATCTGAACCACAACAATTTTTACTTACTTATCAGATGGAGGGAGAAACACGACTCCCACAGCACTTCAGTGGTAGAAACTGCAGCATGGTTCATCTGCTTCTTGCACGAGGATTTTAACAGGCCACAAACCAGCACTTCAAGGTTATTGGCAGAACAGTTATTTGTTCAAACAATGAAACCCATGTAAGCACATCTCAGTCACATGCATATCTGAGAAAATGAGTTAAGAACTTCAGTCAGAGCTAAATTGTGGCTCAGTCTCTCCACAGTGGTGCTAGAATAGCAGTGACTGACATACCATTGCTGGTAGAGAGATGTTTTAAGTGAACATCACATAAAACAGCACACTTCTATAATCATTCCAATACCATTAAGTATTTCAGCACTTATCAATCCATAAAAAAATTGTGAGAAAACAGAAGTTAATGTAGAAAGCTATTTTCCATAAAGAGTATGCCACTACTATTAGTCTGATAACAAAGAAGGATTTTCACACTCTTGTTTCCTTCTAGTGTGGCCAGGATGAAGAAGAACACATGGAAACATTCAACAGCAACCAGAGCATTTACATAATTTCTTTAAGCTCTACAAACACTTAGTCTAATCAGCACCTTTTAAAAACCACAAAAAAACTCCAACAGCTCTGTTACTTTTATCAAGGTGTGGACAGAGCTGAACATACAAAAAAACTCATCAACATTAAAGTTCTGGCATACATCCAGTAAAATTCCCAGCAAGACAAAAATCCATTACTCTCATAAACTGTATTTTCATAAAAAAGGATCATGAGCAGCAGTACCTTTGCCACAAAAGGACACTTAACTCCAAGTCTGTGAAAATAAACCAGCACATTTAACTAAACTGCTCTCACACTGTGACTTGTACATACTTCTAAGTTCCCAAAATATGAAACATTATTTAAACAAAGGCTCATGTGCTCCAATTGAACATCAAGAGCAGCTGTGTGGAAGCTGGTGGAAGCTTCCAACACAGGTGGAAGCTCACCTGGCAAACTGATACTCCATTTTCCATGCAGAAAACACACTTTTAAAATTAAAGCCTCTTCCACACAAGGAGCAATAAAAAGAAGCAAAAAATCCAAGCCACATTTACTGGCAGATCACCTCCAGGTTCTTTTCTTTGCTGTGTAAGACACAAGGCCCCAACCCCATGCATGAGGGCCCAAGCCCTCCTCACACACAAAGGCTTCCCAAACCCCTCACATGCGAGAACCCCCTTATGGGCAAGGGCCCCCCCAAAGCCCTCATGCCCAAGAGCCCCCTCACACACAGGAGCCCCCCAAACCCCTCAAGTGCAACGGGCCCCCCCCACAAAGCCCCCTCACACAAAGGATCCCCAAACCCCTCACACGCGAGAGCCCCCTCAGCCCCCTCATGGGCAAGGGCCCCCCAAAGCCCTCATGCCCAAGAGCCCCTTCAGCCCCCTCACGGGTGAGGGCCCCTTCACACACGATAGCCACCCCAAACCCCTCACGTGCAATAGCTCCCCCACAAAGCCCCTCACACACAGGGGCCACCTCACGCATGAGGGCCCACCAAAACCCTCATGCGTGAGAGCCCCCCAAAACCCCCTCATGCACAGGAGCCCCCCCCCAAAGACCCCTCACGTGCAAGAGCTCCCTCAGCCCCCTCATTGGCAAGGGGCCCCCAAAGCCCTCACATGCAAGGGCCCCCTCAACCCCCTCATCCACGAGAGCCCCCCAAAGCCCTCACACACAAGAGTCCCCCAAACTCCTCACAAACGAGGGCCCCCTTGGCCCCCTCACACATGAGGACCCCCCCCAAGGCCTGCTTTCCTACCAGGAGCTCAGATCAGCAGAACGTGACCTTTTAAAGAAACTTTTATGGAGCTTCTGGCAGCCTTTTCCACCCCCTTCCCAGTCCCCCAAACTGCTCTTTGCCACACCATATTCCCACACAATGTACAATGAGGCCACTGAGGCCTAGTCTCACAGTTTGTAGAGCACTCACAGGAAAATCTGCTCCTTCTCACCAAGGCTCAAGCATCCCAAATTCCACAGCAAATTCCTCAAAGTTTCTCCTCACAGGAGTACAACGCAAATCCCACAGAATGGGTGACCATCTTCCTCCAACCACCCTCAGAGAAATGAGGGAGCTGTGCTCTCTCCTGATGGGAAACGAGGAACACCTGGCACCTTACCCAACAGTCCAATGTCCAGGACTAAACCACTTTTAGAGAACCAACCCAGACCCTTCTATAACTCAGCTCCAGGTGTGGTTTACTCTTTGGAAAGGTAAAGGAGAATAATAAAAAATAATGAAAAAAACCCATCAGATACATATACATGTGAAGTCACTGCAGCTAAGCAGCTACAAGAAAGCTGGAGAAGGGCTTTTGGCAGGGACATGGAGTGACAGTACAAGGGGGAATGGCTTCAAATGGACAGAGGACAGATTTAGATTGGATATTAGGAAGAAATTGTTCCCTGTGAAGGTGGGGAGGTCCTGGCACAGCTTGCCCAGAGAAGCTGTGGCTGCCCCTTCCCTGGAAGTGTCCAAGGCCAGGTTAGACAAAGCTTGGAGCAACCTGAGATAGTGGGAGGTGTCCTTACACATGGCAGAGGGGTTAGACTAGATGAAGTTTAAGGTCCTTTTAACCCAAAATTCATGTATCATGTATGGTTCTTTATGAGTCATTTCTAACTGGTGCCACAGAACATACTCACTCTCTTTTGTTTTCCTTCCAAGAGCTTTGGGTCATTCACTCTGACATTCAGTGACTTAATTCCTCTGGCCCTGCTGCTCCCTGTGTACAGCTATAACCACTGTGCCATGGATACCTGCCAGCAAAACCAGTCAGCCACCCTTTCCTAGGCACTCCATAATAATAGCCTTGTCACTGCTGTTGCCATCATCATCACTATTATTATTATTATTATTATTATTATTATTATTATTATTATTATTATTATTATTATTATTATTATTATTATTATTATTTCCTCGAGGTAACAGTATCAGAAGTACCAAGTGCGGCTATGGATGTACTACAACTAGGATCATCCAGGAAAAAGTCATCAGGTTATTCATTTTGGAGGGTACTGAGGCAAAGTAAGTGAGGCAGAATGATGACAAAACAGAGGGCAAACAGTGGAAGAAGGGATAATATAAGCATATGAATGGGGCCTGGGCTTGATCACAGCAGGTGGAATAGGACATTGAAACCAAGCCTGTGTTCCTCACCAAGGAGTCAAACCAGTTTCTGTGTCCAGGAGGCCCAGAGGGGAGGAAGGAAGGCAGGCAGGATGCATTCCATCCCAAAATGGCAATGCCCAGACAGATGGGTCACACTCCTGTGCTAGAGCCCATTCCCAGCCAGATGCTAAGTGCCCACTGCTTCCCACAGCTCTCACCCTTCCTCCAGTACATCTAAAGGCTCTGGATTTGGCATTGTCATTCCAAGCTGTGTTGTCAGGCCCAGCAAGGGGCCTAAAAGGCAGTTTAGTTGATTCAGGCTTGCCACAGACAAGGCCTCTGCTATGTGCAGAGCAGAGCGCTCTGTCGTGGCCATGTGTAGTGAGGTGTGGTGTATTCCCACCCCCAGCACACTATCCAAACCTCAGTACCACAGTAAACTGATGAGAAGACAAAGCTTGGGTTCTTGACCATCTCCTCCTCTTGACCTCTCCTCAAACCATTCCCAGTTATCAAGGTAGTTTGGAGTGGCCCCTGAGCTTCAGGGCTCTACTTAATAGTGCTTTTATTGATAGCTGTTGGCAGGCAGGCGTGATTTTCCTTGCTCCCATCTCACCAAAAGCCAGACAGCCCAGAAATAGGAGTCTAAACGAATAAGCCATTAGTGCCAGCTGGCTATTTCCAATTGAGTTATATCTTTTCTGTATTATATTACATCGTTGCCTAGAGGTCTTTGCTTCTGCACTAAATTTCCCTAGCTTGCTTATTCTATTATCTGAGTATCACGATTGAATAGTGTACAGCAGGTTTTGTGCATTTACTTCCAACATGTTGAAAAAGAAATTGCCATTTCTCTGAGGTCTTTGCAACAGAGACTCTGAATTGCACTTATTACAGGGTGGCATTTATGGCCTTGCCTGACAATTGAAAGGTACCAGAAAAGCTGTTGCAGATTCTGGACATTAAGTCACTGGAATATTGAATGGTCCTGGTTGGTTTCTGGCTGGTCTCCTGGACACACAGTATTTCAGTGCTGAAGAGAAAGCCCTGGGCAGGGCTTACAAAAACTTACAAATAAATATGTTGCAGAAACAGCAAAATGCCTCATCCCTTAGGAAGTGGAAATACTTCTGTGGGAGGAGATGGGTAAAATGGTATATGGGAATTCAGACCTGCTTTGGTAGTGGCAGGACTTCTATATCCCTGACAGCTTCTAAGCTCTAGCCTATGTCTGCAACCATCTTCAGCATCATTTTGCTATCAGACTTGAATTATATTCAACAGAAATTTTTTCTCCTTACAAATCACCAAGTACAGCTCCAAATTTATACCAGGGACTACATCAGAGTCCAAGTCCCTTAATGTACTAAGCTTGTGCCAAGTCTTCACACCACTCATGCTCAGCGCTTCTTTAACCTCCCCATTCCACTAATTACAGCAAGCATTTTATCTACTTGTTATGATTTCAGATGCTGCCTGAACTGTTACATCCATCATTAGGAGAATTGTTCCCCTGCAGGTTGCTGTTTGCCTGTACACGACATATTCCATGCACACCCTGAAGCATTGCCCAAGTCACAAAAAAATCCTGACCCTTAAATTTGGAATAGAGATGAAAAACAACCATGAAAAACAACCAGGTGGTATTTTTAGGATATGTGAATGAGAAAAATGATCAGACTTTCACACCAAGAATATACTTACACTAGAAATGCTTCTAGTATCATTATATGTGTCTGAAAATGGCCTTCTTCTGCCAGATGGAAGCTGGGTTTACTTTATTTGCAATGCCTATAAACTGTGTTATTCTGGAGCTATCCTCTGCTTGTCTGGATGTAAATCCTTCACATGGTTAAGTGCAGTTCAAAGAAGATATGTGCAGCAGAAGAGTATGACTAAGCCTATGGTGTGTCTGTAATATCTCTATACTCTCACCTGCCACTAAATTCACGTTTTATTTTTTGACTGCAAAGGAGAAAGAAGGAGAAAATTACAGTCTAAAGAGGAAATGGAAGACATATACACAATATTTCTCTCCCTCACATTCCTATTTTCTCTCTCAGTAACTGCTGTTTCATTCCCTGAAACCAAACTCTTATGAGAAGTTGCAGCTCATGTGTAAAAAATATTCCAGAAACTTCTCAAATGTTATCCTGAGTTATGAATCAAAGGCATCTCATTCCTCACTCATCTGACCTATGCTGACTCCTGAGGGGAGACAGACTGGCTGGCAGCAGTGAAGCAAAAGCAATGTTTCTCATAAATACAAATACGCATTTTTCTGGGTTGTGCTCAGATTCTCCACCATCATCATTATTGTCACTGCTGACAATAACAAGTGGGTGCTCCAACAAATTGTCACAGAAATGATTAATAACTCCTGTGGGGTCATTTCTGTGTGATGGTGGGACACCTGATCAGAC